TTCAGCACTTTGGAGAGGTCTCTGATAGCACACTTTCCCAATGCAATACATTTCTTAATTTCCTGATTGAGTTTCAATAGTGTTGATTGTGGAGCCAAACAAACTACAACTGTGAATAATCTCAATCTTTTTACCATCCATCATGATGCTGCCAATTGTCCCAGGGGTTAGAATCTTTGTTTTCTTGAGATTGAGCTTCAATTCATATTGAAGGCTGCAGTCCCTGACCTTCAGCAGCAAGTGCTTCAGGTCCTCCTCAGTCTCAGCAAGCAGGTTTGTGTCATCTGCATAATGGAGTTTGTTGATGAGTCTTCCTCTAATCCTGATGCCACATTTCTCCTCATAGAGCACAGCCTACTGGATAATCTGTTCTGCATATAGATTAAGAAGGTATGAAGGTAGGACACATGCCTGGAGCACACCCTTCCCAAGTTTGAAACATAAAGTGTTCCCTTTCTCAGTTCTGATGACTGTCTCCTAGTCCAAGTATAAATTTCACATAAGCACAATCAAGTATTCTGGGATTTCCATTTTTCCCAGAGTAATCCATAGTTTGTTGTGGTCCACATAGCCAAACGCCTTTGCATAATCAATGAAACATAGATAGACATACCTCTGGTACGCCTGCATTCAGCCAAGATCCACTTAACATTCACTGCAATATCCCTAGTACCACGGCCCCTTCTAAACCCAGCTTGCACTTCTGACAGTTCTCTGTTTATATGCTGTTCCAGTAATTTTTAGATAATCTTTAGCAGAATATTGCTTACATGAGATATTGATATTGTTCGATAATTTTCACACTCTGTTGGATCACCTTTCTTTGGAATGGTGACAAATATAGATTTCTTCCTGTCAATTAGCCAGGTGGTTGTTCTCCAGATTTCTTGGCACAACTTGGTGAGTACATCTAGAACAGCATCTGTTTGTTGATATTTATCAATTGGTATACTGTAATTCCTGGGGCCTTGTTTTTTGCCAATTCTTTCAGAGTAGCTTGAACTTCCTCCTTCATCACCACAGGCTCTTGCTCATATGTTGTTTCATGAAATTCTTCTGGGTCCTCCAATTGCTTTTGGTACGATGACTGTGTATATTCTTCCCATCTTTTTTTAATCTTCGGGATCATTTATTATTCTGCCCAAAGCACCCTTAAGTATTGCTTTAATTTGTTCCTCAATTACTTGAGGAGTTTGACCCCTTTGATTTTCTGACTCCAGATCTTTGAAAATTTTATTATACTGCTTTACTTTGTCTTCCTGCATTGCCCTTTGAAATCTTCTGTTCAGTTCCTTAATATCTTGATTTCTTCCTTCTGCTCTGGCTTCTTGGTGCTCTAGTGCAATATTCAGAGTCTCTTCTGACATCCATTTCAGTCTTTTCTTCCTCTTCTGTCTTTGTAATGACCGTTTACACTCTTCCTAGATGATATTCTTGATATCCTCCCATAACTTACCGGGTCTTCGCTCATTAGTGTTCAAGGCCTCAAATCTGTTCCTGAGATGGCTTTGAAATACAGGTGGGATAGACAAGTTCATATTTTGATTCCTGTGGATTTGATTTAATTTTCCTTAGCTTCAGCTTGAACTTGCATATGACTAGTTGGTGGTCTGTTCTAATTAATTTAGTTATGCTATTTTTTTCCTCCATACTGGTCATAAATTGTAAAGCAAAACCCAGATATGCCATTTCAACTGTATACATTTCTAACAAATCATCCTGAAAACAAAAGAAAAACAATTTCAAAAAAGTTAATAATAATTCTTTATTAATAGTATGATATTCAAAGTTCTCTTGTTAACACAAAATGTATTTTTGGTATTTTATAATTTTAAAATATATTAGCAAGAATTTCATATTGCAGTGCATTTCTAAATCCTTGAGTTTAGTTTTATCTACAACACTACCCACCGGTACCATGACATTTCAAAAGAAACAAACTAAATTTGTTTGCTTCTTTTTCTTTGGATTTTTTTTTTGTTTTGTATTTTTGTGTTTGTTCTTTTTTTTTTTTAAGAAATCAAGCATTCTTCCCATAAAATGTCTTATGTGTTTTAAATTTTAGCATAATTTAAAATCTTCCTGCCCACCTCCTCTTTCTCATTAAAAGTTTAACTTCATTAATTTAGGTTTAGGTACTTCTGTAGATGGAAAGGAAAATTATTTTGTAGGAAGTACTGCGTACTTCTTTATTCATGAGACACAAAATGTCTCACTACTATACTTTTAGTGATGTTCGTGTTGAGTAGTGGAATTAAGTCTTGACAGTCTAATCACTACAGAGTTGTCCATCGGCATTATATCTTAAAGACCTTGGCCTTGCAGATATAGATATCTCTCACATTATTCTTTTTATGATTTCTTAGAGCTCTTGTAGCCTAGTGGTAAGAAACTGTGATGCATTCCCAAAGGCACTAGTTTGGATGGGCAATCTCCTCTCATGTGATATATTCCCTCTAAAAATCTGCTGAAGAGTCAGCTATGGGTCAGTTCTGACTCCATAACACACAACGGTAACAATATTTCATTATGTAAATGCAATCTGTATGCTCAGCAAATTCTTTAATAAGCTAGACTCTGTGAAGAAAAATGTAGTATCAGAATCAGATAAAGATTTCTTAATAACCTACATTATGTGGATGATATAATCTTGCTTGCTGAAAGCAAGGAGGCCTGGAAATGCTTGCTGCAGAAGATCAGAGAATACAACCTTTAATATGGACTGTATCTCAACATCAAGAAAACAAAGATCCTCACCAATAAACCAACAATATCATGATAGATAGAGAAGAGACTGAAACTGTCAACAATTTCATTTTACATAGATCCACAATCAACACCCTTGTGACCAGCAGTCAGGAGAAGATCAGAAGACATATTGGACTGGGAAAGTGTGCACTTTGAAACCTCTCCAAATTATTGAAGAGCAATGATGTTAGTATAAGGACTAAAGTATGTCTCATTTAAGTCATGGTCTTTTCAGTCATTTGCTATGTATTTGAAAGCTGGACAATGAATAAGGATGATAGAAGAAGAATTAATGCCTCTGAGCTGTGTTGTTGGAGAAGAGAAGGTAAAGCCAGATTGGCCATTGGAGGTAAAGATAATAAAGTTTTATCTCATATACTTTGGGTATATTGTTAAGAGAACCTCATCCTTGGAAAGGGACATCATTCTTGGAAAAGTGGAGGGTTGGCAAAAGAGAGGAAAAACATCAATAAGATGGACTGACATAATGACTACTGTTATGGGCCCTCGTATGTCAGAGATTGTATGACATAAGATAGGTCAGGGTGCCAATCTGTTGTTCATGCTATGGTCATATTCAAATCAATGGCACTTAGAACAACAAATACTCCACTATATTCATCCAACAAGTGTCTGTAGATAAGTATTAGAGTAATTTTCAATCTTCTGCTATTGCAAACATGTTTCAAGGAATAGCAATGCCCATGTGTTACTTTGTATTTTGCCAATATTTTACCATATTTCTAAAAGGTTGATGGTTAGGTTTAAAGGTAAATAAAGATATTTTTGCCTATTGTGGTGATGTAGTCATTTCCAACTGACAGTAACCTAATATATAATAATGAAGAGATTTTACAGAAAAATGGTAATTCTAAACTGACATTAAATTCCAAAAATTAAAAAAAGATATAAAACAAGCTACTTTTTCATATCAGCCTAAAAACAGAGCTAATAAGAACTCTAAGTGTAATTATTTTCTTCTTTCAAAATATACTAACATTATAATTTCTATAGTAAAAAAGTATTCTATGAGCAGGAATTCACAATAATAAGGCATAGTTCAAAATAACATTAGAGATTATATGTCTGATTCACATAAATTAAATGAAGACTTTTAAATACCAACCAATTTCGCCTAATTGATATAGCAGGTCACAAACTTTAAAGCCCCAGTTAAATATTAGTTGTACTTTAAATTTAAAACAATATTTTAAAGAAATTTTTAACAATAAAAACTTAACTATGAAAGCTAAATATACCCTCAAATATCTACGTCTGAATGAAAAATTATTTCTTTTTAAAAATTCATTTTAATGAACGTTTACAGAGATTTTAGATTTCCATTAATTCATTATTGCTGTTCTCTCCCTGCACATGCCCCCCCCCTCCTCAGTTCGCTCCTCTCTTTGAAAAGTAAAAGGAAAATTCTTTCATTGGTATACAATTATCCCTCCCCCCAAGTACACTCCACTATGCAACCTTCATTCTGGACTCTTGTCAGAACCATAATATCCAATCATATATCGCTTTTAAACTGTTCTCTCCCTCATCTGTTTCAATGCTGTAACCTACTTCAAATAAAGTAGTACTGATATTTTGATATATATTATATGCTCTATTCTAAATTTAAGCTGTTACAATTATCATAAATTCCTTTTTCTGGTTTATTCAATAACAACTATTTCCTAATATGTGCACATGTGTTTGTGTGTTTGTGCGTATGTGTGTTCACAACTGCCATGGCTGATTATTGATTTTGAGGCCATCCTTGTTGCAAAAACACAAACTTGTGTAGTTATTATTGAAGCAGCAAAAGGTTTTCGAAACAGTAAATCAAGATTCAAAAACATGTTGTTCAGGATATAAGACACATGAATAATGGAAATGCTATAATTATTTTCTTTTTAAAAAAAATCTTAGTTTTTAATCTATAGTATTAAAATAAATCTTTCTTAGTAAAGACATTGCTTTGTAGTTTTCTTCACATTCCAATGATCTTTTAACTGATTTATCAATGAGTTGTAGTAGAATAGATAACATCTAAGGACAATACTCACAAAATACTTTTTAGGATTACTGAGGGCTAGAATAATACCAAAGTTACCTATGATCACCCACAATATTTATTATATGCCCTGTACATAGGAATAAACAAACTGGGACCTGGAAAGCCTGAACAGAGCTAAACAGTAAGTAGGATTCTTATGAGTGAAAGCTAAATAGTAAGTTCCAAGATGTTACTCAACACTTACCTGAAGGGTGAAGATTCTGTTCCTCCAAAAATTCTAGATCAAGCATGAGATCATCTTCATCTAGTTCACAAGATCCCAAATTATTCAAAACATCCTGAAACAAACACAAAATCAATATTGAGAGATCAAAAACTTAAGAATGTATTTCACACTTGAGTGAACTCAAGTGTACAATAAAAATCATAAAATATCAAAAATATTTGACATAATTTCAAAAATTATTGTAAAAATTCTTACCTTTTTCACTTAATTGCACATTGTCTTTACAGGAAATACACATACATAAATGGAAGTGCACATGAGCAGGTTTCAATGATATTTTCTAAGTGCTTAATTAAAACTCCTTCAATAATGGTTTCAAAAAAGATAAACTTACTTTAATACATGCACCAAAAAAGGTATAAACTTTTTTCAAAGGTACAAAAGTCAATAAATTGAAATTTATAGATTATATGTATCAACTTATATTTTTAATTTGGGTAACACCTTTCTAATCCATTTAATGACTATTCTTTTCTAAATTGTGTGTTTAGAGACAATTGAGAAAACAATAATTTAGGACACACTTAGAAGTGGGGGTCCAGTTTCCCTTTACCAATCACTATTTTTCCATTAGGAAGAGAGAGCTGGGAAAAATAAAGACATATCATTCAGGTTAAAAAATAAGCAAGTTTTCATAACACTGTATCAGATCTCATAATACTATACCCTTCTTGTAAGGGAGCTCTTATGGCCTATCAGGTAAGAAGTTGCACTGCCATCCTAAAGGAAGGAAGTTTAAATCTGCCTGCTGCTCCACAGGAGAAAGATGGGCAATCTCCTGTCATGCCTTTTACAGACTCTGAAAACCTGCTGGAGGGTCAGCCATGAGTCACTTCTAAATTGACTTGATGGCCTTAAATTGAGTGAGTGGTATCAGGGTCTTAAATTGAGTGAGTGCTATCAGGGCTCAGATTATAATTTTTCCCCTTTTTTTCCCTTCACTCCAGAAGAGAAAATAAAATCACCCTAGAGATTATAGGAGAGGATCTAAAAAGAAATGATGGACAGTGGTAGGAATATAGAGAATGTTTTTAAATCTTAACTTGTCTATTTATATGTAAAGATGAGTGACAACAAGTATTAATAAATAAGAACTTGAGTTTAGACACTCAAACTCAAAATTAAATACCAAGAGTACAAAATAGGACATAAAAGAGAACACATTAAGTACTCCACAATACCACAAATATCTCAAATCAGTGCTGAGGGTTCTTTTATTGAGTCCAGTGGTGTCATAATCTATATGCAAATAAGAAAATATTCATTAAGAAAAAGCTATTGAAATTGTCAAATGTACATGGCATTTCTTTGGCTCAAAAGTAAGGACATGGTGACTTTTAAACAATTCTGGTGGCATAGTCTCCAAAGGTTACAGTGGTAACAAAAACGCTCCATCTATGGCAGCTTGAATCCATCAGATGCTCCAACGGAGAAAGTGGGCAGTCTCCTCCAGTTAAGCTCTACAGCATGGGACACCTTAGGGAGAATCTATAACTCCAAAACAACTAGACAGCATGCAGATTTTGTGGTTCTTTGACCGTCATTTTAACAAATGGAATTAAACATTGTTGCTGTTGATAAGTGCCTTCAAGTCACCTGTGACTCACAGTGACTCAATGAACAATAGCTCTGATCCATGCTTATCCTGAGCCAACCTACTGTCTCCAACACACTTACCCCCATGATCACACTTACTGTGTCAATTCATCTGTCTCATCCAGGGTCTTTCTTTCCTGTTTTGTCCCTCCACCTTTCCAAGCATAATGTCCTTCTCGAAGGACCAGTCCCTCCTGGCAATATGTCCAAAGTATATGAGATGGAGCTCCAAAATCTTTGGGTCCAAGGAACAACTTGATTTCATTCTCTCCGGGACACACCTGTTTATTCTCTGGGAAGTCCATAGTATGTTCAAGACTCTTTTCCAATATCACAACACAAAGCCATAAATTCCCCTTTTGTCATCCTTAGTCATTGTCCAGTTCTCTGATGCATAACAAGTAATTGTGAAAACTATGGCCTGGATCAAGTGCACCTTAGTCTCTGGACTGACATCACTGCTATATAGCATTCTGGAGAGGTCCCTGGCAGCAGGATTTTCCTAAGGCAATTTGTCTTTTGATTTACTGACTGTTGATACCAAGAGTGTTGACTGTGGAACCAAGCAAAATTAAATTGGGAACCACTTCAATCTCTTGTCCATCTACAATGGTGCCAATTAGCCCAATGATAATAATTTTGGTTTCTTTGTTGAGCTTTAATTCATATTGAAGACTACAGTCCTTTACCTTCTGCAGCAAATGCCTCAGGTCCTCCTCAGTTTTGGTAATCAAAGTTGTATCAACTGCATACAGGTTGTTGATGACTCTTCCTCTAATCTTGATGCCACATTTCTCCTCATAAAGTCCAGCCTCCTGAATGATCTGTTCCACAGATAGACTGAAAATGTATGGAGAAAGGACACCTCTCTGACACACTCCTTTTCTGATTTTAAACCATGCAGGTTTTTCCTGCTCTGTCCTGATGACTGCTTCCTGGCCCAAGGACAGGTTTCACATGGGCAGAATAAAGCTTTCTGAATTAAACATCAGACTTAAGGAAACAGAGCACTATAGTATGAAAGGTGAAAAGTATTCCCAAGCTGAAGTGATTCCTTCTACAGATGACGTTCATTAATCATTTAAACTGTAGCTAGAATCAAGTGTTCATTGGCAAAGCTGTTCTTTAATGCGGTGGTGATATCCCACTGATAATTTGCTCCTCTACACAACTTCACTTTTTTAAAATTTGTGTTGCTTTAGAGGTGTGTCCTTTCTGTGTGGATGTGGGAATGCTCTGGGTCATCTTTAACTGGCCAGAAGCCTCTTTCTGGGAACCAATGAGAGCCTGAACTGTTGGCCTGCGGCATTTTAAAATTCATTCGGGCCCTCAGGCCTGTGGCTATGAGTCTTCTACAACTCCATGGCACTTAACAACTACAGCATACAAATTCAATACCACTCATCTCTAAGTTTGCCTTTAAGCAGTAGCATAAGAGTTGTCATGATGCTAAAAGCTATGCACTAGTATTTAACATGCTAGCTTGGTCAGGCACAGAGAACAGGTTTCAGTAGGATTTCCTAAGACAGACCAAGACGTATATGTGGTCTTTCACTTCTGAAATGATAAGCCCTCAAAATTCCCAAGAATAACAGTAATAACTTGTCCGATATAATTGCAGAAGATGAACCACACAGATTTGAAGATACAGGCAAGTTGCTGAAGATATTTCATTAATTGTTGGAGAAATACTTAACAGGGAACTGCTGAGAATTCAAACTAGATTCAGAAATGCCATAGAACAAAAGATATTATTGAGGGTAAAAAATAGTTCTTGGCTGAAAACAAAAAATATAAGATGTTTACTTGTATTTTACTGACTATACAAACATATTAAGTTGTGTGGATCATAATAAATTGTCAAACATTAAGAAGAATTTCCATTTTCTAACATTTATTGTGCTCATGTGAAACTTGCACATAGACAAAATCAACACAAAGGCTTAGTTTAGTTTAGTTTTTTATTTAATTTTTTTCCTTTGTGTTTGTGTAAGCAGGGACCAGCAAGTAATGAGCCTCACATAGATTTTACTCCAGGGATGGAAAAGACTGACCATAAATGAAGGTCAAGCATAACAACAACTTAAAAAGGGAGCCTAAGAGTTAATTAACACTAACTATCAAGTCTACATGAGCTCAATTAAGTGTCTCACATTTGACAAATTAGCAGAATATTTAGAAGTAGAGTGGTAGCTAAGCAAAAATACTTCCTTATCTCCTGGTAGTTGAAAACTCTACAAAGCCCTATATAATAAAGAACAATAATGAAAATCTATGAATTCTTAATAGTGTTGGCATAGCTAGCCCATATATCATAATAAGAGGACAATCATTATGTAATACAGGCATTCAGGCCTTAAAAAGTATACCATTTAGTGAGGGCACAGCAGTATTGCACAATTTAGAAGTTATGCTTAAATTAAAAAGTAATTCCAGGTTGACCACTATCTTAAATCTGAAACATCCCTAATGTAAAACACATTCCAATAACTATGCAAAAAATCTCATCTCATCAGCAATTCAAAATTTGCAAATTTAAGAGATAAGTACATTTTTTCACTGATATAAAGACTGGGCAATAAAAGTAGTACTGTTTTAAGGGCTAGGTAGGGTAATCAACGTTTCTAAATCTTTAATTTAGAGGTCCCCATCATAAAAATAAACATTGATAGTGATGACACATTCACAGAATATTATCTCTAACTGGTCTGGCAGCAATCTATTAGGTACCTTTCAGATCTTTGCCACTTTGTAATGTCATTCTGGATGTTGTCTAGTTCCCACTTTGACTTGCCACTAGGAATGAATCTTCCTCTTCCTCTCCCTATTATGTCTCTGGAAAGACTGGGTTAGTAGAAACAACTTAGTGATATTCTTTTTAAAATGATGCCCTTAGTGTGTACTACTCGTGTCATACCTACTTTAGAAGGCAGGGGAGGCAGGTAATTGTGTAACAATGAATAATTTTTTTTTAAAAAAAGACAACTAGTGGGGTGGGGAAGGGAGAGGTTTGAAATGTGCAACAGTGACTGAATGAAAATCCAACTTTTCTGTAAACTTTCAATATTATCAAAATAAAAAAAAATTATGTTAAAAGGAAATGGAGGGAAAGTGCAGAATCACTGTACCAAAAACAATTGGTTGACACTGAAACATTTCAGGAAGTTTCATATGATCAAGAGCCATTGGTTATGAAAGGATAATTTCAGGCTTTTAAGCGAAGCTTAGGAACAAGTAAAAATGGAAATAAACGATCCTGAAATCTGGAGACCCATACAAATTTCCACATTATCAAATTTCAACAATGAAGATAAAAGAAAAACAAATCTAATATTATTACTTTTATATATCCCTTTCTAGGGCAAGTCTACGGAACTGCTTTGGGACCATTACAGTATATGAGCAGCTTTCATATATGGGAAAATTGAAATATTTAAAGATCAATTAATATGTTAG